CTCAACTCAATATACCAAAAATAAATACTCAAAGAAGAAAGAAGAGGTGATGGCTCAACTTTAAATATACAATAAAACCACAATAAAAGCTTTATTAAACACAATAAAAAGAAGGTAGGTGATGGCTACACTTCCAAGAAAATAAACTATAAATAACAAGGAATTAAAAGTAGAGAAAAGACAGTTTATTTATTAAAAATAATCTATAAATAATAAGAATCTAAAAGTGAGTGAGTGAAGTCTAATTATTAAGACATTAAAAGAGAAGAAAAGACAGTCTGCTCTGCTTTGGGGAAAAAGGCAGGGTTTTTATATCTTTTGGACTATTAGTAAATAATCCAGTTAACAATCTAGTTAACGACCCAGCTAACAGCCCAGTTAATGACCCAGTTAACGACCTAGTTAATGATCTTTTTAACAACCTAGTTAATGACTCTTTTAACAACCCAGTTAACAACTCTTTTAACAATCCAGTTAATGACTCAGTTAATGTACCTGTTAACATATCTATTAATATACCAGTTAACATATCTGTTAATGTACCTGTTAACGTACCTAATATTATACTAAAATTACTACTATTTGTCAAAAATTTTACTATTAAACTAAAGCTAAAAAATAAACATATAATAAATATAAATTATACTAATAAAATATACTAATAAAATCTTTTAAAATATGCTAATAAAATCTGCTAATATAACAATATATAATATTTATATTTATTAAAGAAAAAAGCATATTGAATAGTTTTACTTGCTATAATTAATTAAACCAGCTGTATACCAAGTTTTAAGACAAAGAACTGCATAAACTTTTTTAGGATTCAACTGATTTCTAGTTGGATTAATAGTAAACTTTGCAACACTAAATATTTGTTCACTTGCTACACTTGTTGTCTAAACTATTAAATAATCACAGGCCATATTAGCAAGTAAATTTCAGCAAGAATCTGAAGATTTAGCTTTCTAATACATAAGAATATCAACTTCTTCAATAGGTAGATTTAAATATTCTTTAAGAGAATTATCATTATTCATAAATATATCATATAATCTTTTAAGGTGATAATGAAAAAAATCTTATGAAGATTCAGATTTAGATAATTCTTCTACAATTTTGTTGTTAATTGTATAATATACCTTATAAGTTTTATAAATTACTTGTTATGTTTTATTTATATCTTTATGTTCAAATAGCATTAGCTTATTATTTGGATCAAGAATTGCTATTTTATAAAAGGTTGTTTTAAGTTCATCCCAATATTTGTCTAATTTGGTTTTCATTTTTTGTGCAACAGATTGTAATATGCTATTTTTATTTTGAACTTTGTATATTGTATTTATAATAACAGGAAATACCATATGAAAATCACTAAGTGTTAGGTAACTTGATGATGAAAGAAGATTTGTAGTATGATAGATTGGTTTAAGTAATTTAACAAGATTCTAAAAAAATTAAAAAGTATTATTATTATTATTATTATTATTATTATTATTATTATTATTATTATTATTAATTCTTATATTAAGTTCTTTCTAATCTTTATTATTTGGATATATATCTTTTAGTTGTAGGTTTGATGCAACTAAAATATCTGTAATATCTTGAATTTGTGTAATTTTTCTATCATAATATAGGTGGAATTTCAATGAGTATTAATATCAGTTTCTGGTACTAAAACAGGATGCTTTTTTATATTAAAAAGTTTTTTTAATTCTTCAGACATAATTTGAGAAGAACTTATAGTATTTATGAATTCTCAACCTTTTTTAACTAAAAGTCCTGCTTCATTAAGACCATCCTTTGCTACCAAGTTAAGGATATGAGCAGCACATCTAACACAATGAAATAATATATTTTCATGATTATCTAATAATAACTATACAAATTCTTGCCCAAATACATTCATATTGAAGGCATTATCAGTAGTTGCAGCTATAATTTTATTGCTAAGACCAAAATAATTAATAGTAGTATAAATCGTATTAGCAAACATAACTCCTGAATGCCTTTTATGAAGTGGCACTAAGTCTAAAAGAATACAATATATTCTCTATTCATTATTAATCTAATAGAGAGTTATAGACATATAAGCTTGATTTGTACATGCTGTCCACACATCTGTGGTAAGTGCTACTTTATTATTATAATTTTTAAAATATTTTTTAATTATTCCATATTGTTTTTCATAAATCCATTGTATTTTAACAGAATTGTTTGCCGACTTGGTAATTTATATCAAGAATTAAGCTCTGCTATAAAGATAATAAAATCTTATTCTCAATGATTGAAAATGGTTGCTGATCACAAATAATCTATTGTATAAGTAAAGTATTACTAATTGCAATTTTAGTTTTATCTATTGTACTGCATAATTTAATTTCTTTAACAGAAACTATATTTTGTTAAATTGCCTTCCATTCACTTTTGTGATACTTTTAAAATGTTTTTTGATTGTACTAACACCTGTACCAACACTATATGGCCGATTACCGATGTCACAAACAATATTAATATAATCTTTATTTCACGAAAAGTAGCTCCAAACTGGATGACATGGTCTACTTTTTTTAATTTGCTTTTCTTGCTCATTATTTTTATTAACTATATTTTCATTTTCACTAGCTGTTTTACTAAATGCATTTTCTCTTTCATCTTCACTAGTTATTTTGTTATTCCTATTTTCTCTTTTATCTTCACTAATTATTTCTTTATTCCTATTTTCTTTTTCATTTTCACTAGTTATTTTACTAATTCTATTTTTCTTATCATTTTCACCAATTATTTCATTAATTGTATTTTCTTCATCATCTACAACTACCAGTTCATGAATATTTATTATTAAGTTTTATAATATTAATCAAAAGTCTAGACAAGCAGGCTTCAATGGAAGTCTGGATTATTGATGGGTATAAACACTAATTCTCCCTTAAATCCGGGTAATTTTCTCTCTAATATCTCATAAATCCTCTAAATAAATAGTTTCAGCATCTAATAAATTAGGAGTTTTGGTGGAATTATTGAAAAAGAGAGTAATTTCTTCATCTTTGAGAAAAATTTCTTTTTTCTCGGGTTTCACAGATTCCACATAATCCTTGGGTCTAGTCCGTAAAATCTTGCCCGATTTAAATTGGATTTCAATATTTTCATATTCTCCTAAATCATTCTCCTCATACTTAATTAAATCTACCACTACTCATTTATTATCCTTTTTACTTACTAAATATAAAGCACACTTGCCTTTTTTAGATTGTTTTTTTTCCAGGTCGTTTCAGTGGTAGACTAGGGGGCAATTTTCTTCCGAACATTCTAAATTAGAGTTGCCAATGAAGTAATTATGAAAAAACTCTAATATCTGGGCTTGTCATAAATCTTTTGGAGTAGGTTTTTTAGTATTCATAAAAATTATTGTATGTTTAAAAAGAAAAATATTTGAAAATCATTATTAATCACTCTACTCATTAATAATCTGGCTATGGTAGTAATCTGGGCTATTATGAGTGCTTTTGGTTATGCTCCTCATTATTTAATGTCATTTATTATTCATAATGTTTTAGCCGTATTGTTTTGGTTGGCTAGGGCTATTGATTATTAGTTGCTTGCTTTTTTAACTTTCTTTTTTGTTTTCGGGAGAGGGGGATTTCTGGTTCTCGTCCCTTTTCATCTCCCTTACCTCCTCCATTTTCGTCTCTCTCTCTCTCTCTCTCTCTGGATTGCTAAAAAACTCTTCTAACTCTCCCAGTTTTTTTTCTATTTCCTGCCGACCCCAAGCAATAGTGGCTTGGCTTATTTGGTCTTTTAATTCTTGGTAAATATTTTGGACTTGGTTAAATAATTCTGCTTTTAATTGGGGCAAATTATCATTGCCTTGATTATTTTTAGTTTTTGATTTTTGCTCCAACTTCCTATTTTTTTTAATCAATTCTTCATTTTGAGTTCGTAAATTAGAGATTTTTTTGTTTAATCCTTCCACGACTGCTACATCAGCCGAATTTTGGAGAGTGGCAATGTCGTTTTGTAAAATATTTCTTTCCTGGTCTCATTTAGCCAGGTCATTTTTTCACATTTGTCTTATTTGTTGTTCTCTATAATTCATAATATTTTAGGTTCTGCTTTCATTTTTTCATAGTAGGGTTTACGGACACATTAAAGGATAGTAAAGCCCTAATTATACGAGGTTCATAGATAAACGACACTTTAAGCATGTCATTATTTCACAACATCTTTAATCTCACTCAACTTTTTAATTTTCCACTTCTTTAAAAACTCTTTGACTTCGGCTTGTTGTTTTATTCTCTCGTCAATTCAAGGTTTCATTTTTTTAATAAAATCCTGGGCCGAGGTGAAGGGTTGGTTTTGTCAGGACCATTCTTGTAAAATGCTATTTAAATCCTGTTCTAATTTAGCCGTTCGTATTCTGGCCCGTTGTTTGGCTATTTCCCCCCGTAAGATTAGCATACTAATATTAGTTCTTTTTCACCAGAGCCCAAGAATTAGTAAAAGGTATCATACCCCCAACTACTTCCACGTGGTAAGCAAACTTTTCCATACCTCCTCCTAGGGTTTTTTCATGTTGGATTTCGTCCGGATTGATTATTCTATATACCACACTCTTTTCATCATGGATAGTAGCCAGGACATTATTTTCTAACTTTTTAACAATCACGGATTTAAAAAGTTTGTAAGGATTTAAATTGCTATCTCGGGCTACATCAGCCAAAAAGAATATTTCTAAATCATCCAAAAAATCAGGGTCAATGGTTAAGACTTTACTTTGTCTAGTTTCACAATTAGTTTCTACTTCGTTTCAATCATGACTTCCTGGTTTTTGGTAGCCTTTGTTATAATTGCTGCTTACTTCATCCATTCCGTTATAAGCACTTTTGATTAATTTCAAAACGACAATAGCCTTATCCAGACTGGGGAGAACTACGAAGCCGAAAACAAGAAATGCAGCCGTGGGCATATTCCTTTACAAAGCCGGAATAATCCAAAGAGTAACCGGTAGACTATTCAGCAAAAAAGAAAGCGAATAAAATTAAGCAATCATGAACAATCTCAATACTTCCAACCTCAAAACTACCGTTAGCACTCGCCAATTATCAGGAGAGGTAGATAACCGTCTTGCATATTAATAGTTTTCAAGACTACCGCCTTAAACCACTCTATCGCCATAATAGTGGACTAATGATTGATTACAGTAAGGACAAGAACGATTGAGCTTAATTCAATTTTTACTTTTTCTCGGGAGTTCAATGGGATTTTCCAGACCGGTTGGCCAAGGTAAGACTTCTTTATTGGCTATGTTAGCCCAAGAATTAAGTGGAGAAGATAAATATGCGACTTTTCCGTGTAATTTGCCCTGAATTGACATTAGTCAGATCGATTTTGCTTATCAGCCGAAGCAGCCTCTTGGGGTTAAAGAAACCATCTTTTTAGATGAAATTAACTTATTGTTTAAAGGTAATATTGTCCACGAAGCCCGGGCCGAAAAAAGATTTTTAAGTCATTTTTTTGCTCTCTCACGACACCAAGGGACTAAAATAATTTTGAATGGGCAAAGGTTAGGGCAAGTGTGGATAGAGTTGCGAGAGGTAGCAACGGCGGTTTGCCAGGTGGAGAAATTGGCCTTAAAAGAAGAAGGGCTATATGTGCGAGTAGAGATTTTAATGGCTACAGCCTGAGAGACCAAAGAAACTGGGCGGGAATTTATCGTGTTTGTCCCAAAAATTTATTTGGATACTTTTAATTCTACTTGATTAAGATGTTTAAAATATCTGCGGCGGCAGCAGGGGTACGTCTAAACTTTAAGAAGTAATTATTGACTTTTCTAATGCTTCTTGATTTCGTAACTTGCTATTTTTATAATTCTAATAAAACATTTACTCGCTTATCTACCCTCGCAGAAGCAAAAGCCATCCAACAATATTTAAAAAAAACAGGTTATGCTTGCTCTCCTCATTTCATTATGGAAAAAGCCTCCTACAAACAAGTTCAAAACGAAGGAAAGAGCATCGCCCAAACTAAATATCAAGGATTAGCAAAACAGGCCCAAGAATTAGTTATCAGTTTTCTAGATTACTTATAAAACAATACATATAACAACATATAGTTATATAGTAATATTAAGGTATGAGTAAATGGAATAAAATTAGAAAAACAGATTTAAGGATTATCCCTCAATTATTCATAGTTTAGGAGGTTTGAGCAGTAATAATCATCCGGTTTATCATAATAGGAATTTGGGGTAAAATAAATATTATGACTGAATTAATAATTATTAGAACTCACGAGAGTGAAAAAATAAGAAAGTTTTTGGAGCAAGAACGGGTTGATTATGAAGTTTATCACGAAGAAGAAAAACCCCAAAAAATCAGTGAAGCAGCACTAGGAAGGGCCTACCAGGAAGCATGGAGCAATCCCCAACGATATCAGGAGGCCCAAAAATGAGAAAAGGCTGCTGTTAGTGATTGGGCTGAAAGAATTAAAAAAGAGAAAAAATAATGGCTCAACAGTTAATCAGGAGAGGAGAAGTTTAATCTTTCCCATTTCTTTAACAAAATTTCGTTACTTTTATCATCTCGCAAATAAAAACCGCAGGGGATTGCAAAAAGCAATCGATCAAATGATATACGGCAGGCTATTTACCGCTCCATAAATGGAAAATGACAAGATAATTTAATTACTCCCTAATATTTTTTGAAAATTTAGTATGAAACTTGACTATCCAATGTCTTAAAGAAATACAATGATTACTTTAAAATTTTTATTATTTAATTATATATAAATAAAACAAATTAATATTTTATTTATTTATTATTATCGATTACAAAATTAATAAAGATATATTACTATGTAATAACTATTTTTCTTTGCACTTTACAATTCTTTGTACTTTACAATTTTTTGCACTTCACAATTACATAATAGATTTATACCTGCATAATAAATATCTAATTAGCTACATAACAATTGTATAATTTTTTAAAAATTACTTAATTCTTCTAAAAATTACATAAATTTTTTTAAAAATTATATATGTGCATTTTTTTAATATTGTATTTTGTAATATTTCAATACTTTATTTGACTGCTTATTTATTTAGTATTTTATAATAAAATTTATGAACTGTATATTAAATATTTAATTAATAAATAAATTTATTTTGTAAATTAAATTACATACATACCAACTACACATTGTTATTTAATAAAATTATTTTAATCAATTGCATAAATTGTAAGTAAATATGTAGCAATGAGTTTCAAGCAGTGAATAGTCACAAACTCCAGATTTTCGAGTATCAGTAAAAAATTTTGACCGATGTTCAAATGTTCATTGAGTTTTTAAAAAATACATAAAAGAATTTAGTATAATATGAAATTTATCAATTGTACCATTATTGCAACATTACTTGATTACAATTCACATAACTTCTAATTTGCGACATTACAAAAACAGCTTGATTTCGCTCATCAGTCAATAAAACACGTAATTAATATTAATTATCAAGCTTAACTGGTTATATAAAAAAAAATCAAACTAGTTATTTTAATGATTACTCATATGAAAAATGGGATCAAAAATAGAATAATGGACACCATTAGCAAAATTTCCAAAAAGCTACATCACTTGATTACGTGATGTGATGTTAGTGGCTTGCCTTTCATGCAATCGAAATGAGCTACAGTAGCCATTTCACGTAATTACAAGACTGGATCGAATGGCTTCATTAATGTGGCTTATTTGCGATTACACAAAAATCAAACCACTAAAATACATCATGTGATTACATGATGTGGCTTTTCGGAAATTTTGCTGATGATGTCCGCTATACTATATTTGATCTGAAAAATGAACTAGTTATTATAGTTTATGACGTAGTAACTAACTTGATAAACTAGCTAGTTAAACTGGTTTTGACTCTAACGAAAACCGTTTAAGTCCTGAACTGAGTCAATATGGTTAAATCCTAACTACTTAACATCTCTACGTTAATGTTAGGTAAACAAGCATGTATTTATTAAATTAAGTCACGATTATTGATTTTTCATACCATTTATTTTCATTTATTTACA